AAGCACAGCTCAGCTCTCTTGTTTCAAGAACAAAGTCCCCATATCTTTATTTTTTGGAAATGGATCTGAATAAGTTTTGCTTAATGGGAGAAGAATCCTCCACTTCTCTGCTCGTTGCGGAATACCTTATGCCACCAGACTTGAAATTTTAGGCTTAGACAACCTAGAACTACGCCGCCTTCAATCCGACCTAAGTATACTACATAAAATTATCTATTGCAACATCCTACCTGTCAATGACTACTTCAGCTTCAATCGCAACAAGACAAGAGCACACAATAAATACAAACTCAAGGTAAACCACACCAAACTCGATTGCAGAAAATACGACTTCAGCAACAGAGTGGTCAACGCCTGGATGTTCTGACCCAAACCCTTTTCCAATAAAACAAACACAGACCAAAGGGAACAGAAACCTTACAAATCCCCAGTTAAAAGGCTGCTGCAGGCTAATTAACTTTGATAAGCATGAGCCTTGCCAAAACTGTGTGAGGCTGCTAAGAATAACAGATAAGGTTACCTAGAAATATTTTACAAGAGTCTTCAAATACTAACTAAGATACTGCAATGTCCACGAAGCTGAGTTTCAAAACGTCTTTGCTTCCTGCAAAGAACGTCCGATTCACAGCTGGCTTTTATCTTCTTGAAGGAGGGGCCACTACCTTGCAGCCTTACTCCCGAGTCGCCCGTGCTGTTGCAACTGCTCTGTCCTACGAGCAAACCCCCGCGTGCATACGCACTTGGCACAGGCTCCTCAGGAACCTCCTCATCACTGCTGCCAGCCCCCACCATCTCTGAAGGGAGCAGTCCACTCCCTGATGGTCCTGGCCCCTCATCTGAGTCCTCGCTCTCTTCAGCCGTCCGCACCTGCTGCCGGATAACCACAACACTGGAATGCACTCCCTGACTCTGCGGTTTCTTCTCCAAACCCCCAAAACTTTAACCTCAAACTGTCTACCGGAGACCTTACCCCATTCCTGAGAGGTCTGTAGGGGACGTGCATAAGCGCACCAGCGTGCCTACCGTCCCTGTCCTAATGTTTCTTTTTATTCGTATCCATTTCATGTAGTCATAATCATGGTTATACTGATACCTGTTATCTAATACTTGCTTGACTAGATAGATAGATAGATAGATAGATAGATAGATAGATAGATAGATAGATAGACATGGATAGAAATGATGGATGGATAGATATATAGATAAAAGATGGACAAAGATGGATGGATGGATAGAGAAAGGATGGGCCGCTGGTTGGGTGGATGGATAGATGATAAGGATGGATAGAGATGATGGATGGATATATATATGTGTTATGTCTCCTCTTGGAAATTCAAACGAACAAACAGAAAGCAGCCGTTTCACAATCAAATCAAACTGAAGGAAATAACAAGATAACGGCTGGCAGAAACTGTTAGGACTCCCCTTCGAAATTCAAACAAACAGAGAGCTCTTTGCAGTAACGTCCTCATTCAAAATAGTCATTTTGTTCCTGGCGAAAGGCACCAGCTCAGCTGTGTCCTTTTATACCCATTAAGGCAACGTGCTAATTAACTGGCTTGCCCTTCAGATTAACGTTTCCTGGTTGTGACGTCAATCCACGATCTAACAGTCATCAGAGTCAAAACTCCCAACAGGACCGATCCTTCCAATCACAACATATATGTATAGATAAAAGATGGGCAGATAGATGGGTGGATGGATGGATGGATGGATGGATGGATGGATGGATAGATAGATAGATAGATAGATAGATAGATAGATAGACAGATAGACAGACAGACAGACAGACAGATAAATTTGGGAAGAATTTGTCTTGAACGAAAAGCATTATCAGCAAGGCAGAAAAAGGAAGGAGGACGTACGCTGCCAGCCGCCGAAGATTCAAGAGTCCTTCCTTACCTTGACCAACGTCCAGGAGACAATGCGGCCATCTGAAGACACCGAGAAGAAATTCAAGTTGTTGTCCATATCGTCTTTCTGCCACTTCACCTGGGGAGGAAAGAAGAAATCCGATATACTTTTTTGCATATTTACTTTATTTGTCAAGCAAGTATTAGATGACGGGTATCAGGATAAACATGATTTATGAACACCCCGAGATGGATATGAATACGCACTGATGACGTTCCCCAGTCTGGTCATGAAAGGTCTGCGTGGAAACAACCAAGGGAGCCCCAAGGGAGCCCCACATTCCGCCCTGAGCCCCAGAGATTCTCTTCTAGCGCACCTGAGATTCTGCCCGTCGACTCGGTTCTCGGAGAAGACCTGGGACGGAGAGGCAGGGAGGAGGAGGAAGAGGGAGAGAGGAGGAGGAAGGAAAGGAGGAGGAAGAAAAGGAGGAAGAGGGAAGGGAGGAGCCCCAGTCCTTACCTGCCAGACGGGGTCGCTGTGCTTCCCAGACAGGGTGCTGCTCTTGTAGCCCGGCTGGGTGGCCGTGGGCTTCTTCAGGTTGTAGATGGCCACGTTGCCGTCGTAGAAGCCCACCGCAATCAGGTAGGGGTGCTCCACGTGGATGTCGAGGCACATGATGCCGCTCTCGCTGGCGAAGGCGTCCTCGGGGAAGGAGGGGTTCTTCAGGCTGTAGAGCAGCAGCATCCCCCGGCTCTGCTTCATGAAGTCGTCTGGAGGGAGAGGAGGAGGAGGAGGAGGAGGAGGAGGAGGAGGGGGGGGGGAAAGGAGGAAGAAGAAGAGGAGAAAGCGGGAGAGAGGAGGAGGAGGAGAGAAGAGGAAGAGGAAGGAAAGCAGGAAGAGGAAAAGGAGAAAGAGGGAGAGAGGAAGAGGA